CCCTACACAGCCAAAACAGAGAAGCATCTCCAAGTGGCAACTCTAAGAACTGAACAGATGCCTGAAATAGCAGATGTGAAAAACCAGGTCTCTTTCCTACACATTTGCCCTTCAGCAGTTCCTCCTGTCCCTTCTACAGCCAAAACAGAGCCTAATGAGAATACAGGGGCTCATCAGCTCCAAGTCTGAAAAGTTTAAAACATTGATATCAAAAAAACAAAAAGACATCATTTCCTTCAGTCTTTTCCTATTTTCAGTAACCCTAGATCCAGCTTGGAGGAAAAAAAAATGATTTTGGGATGTTAACTTAAAATGTGATCAGACCCTTATCACACCTACGGAAAGTTTTTCTGGAACTCCAGAAGTTTCACAAACACTTACGCTTTAGAGTAGTTCAGAATGAAGTCAACTCCTTTCTCGTTGTCAAACTGGATGTCACGGGGCAGTTCACTGTGAGAATGGGCATCGATGCTCAGTGGAAAGCCTGGATGCCACTCCTTCCAGCTGAGGAAAGGAGAAGTTACATTAACCATAGACATATTACCAGCAAGAGCTGTGACATTCCTTCACCTACGCTGCTTCTGCGACTCAGGAGGCTAGTCTGGGATACATGAGCACTTCTTAGTATCATATGGATTCGTGAAGTACAATCAAAGGCACCTACTTGGCCACCTAGACTCACAAAACTTGAAATAACTCAATATCTGTAAGATTTCCAAACACTTGCCTTTTTTTTTTTTTTTCAATTGGCTAACTTCATATTTAAGGAAGGGAGACAGCAGGACAGTCTGCTGCCTTGCACACCGTTTGATCACATTAGCCTCCTTTTGGGGGTTCCATCTGAAATACAGCAGTAATGATTTTTTCAGATGTAATTGTGCAATAGACAGACACAGAAACACACAGTTGGAAGTGACTTGAGCCCTATTAAAAGTTCCCAGCATCCAAAGGTGTGCTCAGTGACCTACCTTGCTATACTCAAAACAACGTCCTACGCAGCTGGCACTGCAGAAGTCACTGAGTAGAAATGCCATCTGTCCCACATTTTTTTTTTTTTTTTTGAAAAACAACACTGCAGAATGACTAGCAGCTAAAATTCCTCGGGCAAGTTTTTGCCAAAAGGCCATTCTACCAGAGACACATACAGCCTTGCCTTAGTTTCTTAGAAGGGCATAACCTCCTAACGGTCATGACACACCTTCTTCATTCTCTGCAATATATGTTCTTACATTGTGCAATTCACCTTGACATCTGATGGGGAACAAATTTTATTTCAAAACAAAACAAGGCCGTTTCTAGGAAAAAATGTTTCAATGTTATTGCCAAATTGCCTGCCACACTGTGTGTTATCAGTTATACATCTGAATTGTAAATTGCTGTCTCCCTGGAATTACAAATGATTTTGCCTTCCTTTTTGCATACATAAATCACATTTTGTATCACACATCTTTTTGGAGCTATAATCTGTTTTATTTATATCATTTGTAAGCAAGATCCTTTCTCAGTTAAACGAAAACAACCCATACACCAAGGCTCAATCAATCAATTCTGAACAGAACCTCTATTATTTTGATCCCTATTCTCATGATGCAAGAAACTCTTGTACTTCTAAGGAAGGGCATGTTTCTAGGGAAAGGAAATGTTTTATGTCTTCTGGAGTTACCCGTTGAAGGAAGATAGCATTCCCCATTTGTGACCTTCTTTTGATTAGTAGAAAAGTCTATGACAGTATAAAACAACCACAGGGAAGGACCTCTGGAAGATGAAAATGCCGCTTTTGTTTTGATAGCACATTACATTTCACCCCAAAGAAGCCAAAGCACCCACTGAACCTGGCTGCAAGAAACAAGAGGACTAACTTGCAGCAGCTGATAAGCTCTGGTAATAACTGACATGTTTAGGTTGTGTTCACAGTGAAATACTGCATACAAATAGCAAACCAAATCTGTCTTTGGCTCTTCCTTGAAAGCATAACTGTGCTACAGAGAGCCCCCACACAAACTGTACCACTGAATTCACACCAAGACCCTCCAGAGAGGTTTATTTAGGATTCAAGTAACCGGTAACACTCTTTGCACCAAGATGATCATTACTTGCAGTGAATTCCATATAAGTAAAACCCCTACATGGTGAACATGGGAATTCAGTTTCACTTAACCAGAAAAAAAGATAAGTTGAATATACTCCTCTTCTGCCATACCTCACCTGATTTGGATTTGCTGGCGCTGTTCAACAGCACTGCAGCATTCTGGGCTGTCGCCTGTGACACACACTCCAGGACACACACGGGGGAGCCATAGGTCCCAACACACCTCATACTATAACTGCTTCTTGCTCTGCTTTAACACTGATGTTGGGGCAGAGTCACCATCCAACGTTCGATCGCTTTCTGTGGCTGCCCGCTAGCACTCGTATAGAAAAGCACTGGTGCTAAATGGTGACTGGAGGAAAACAGGACTGGCATTTTCTGGAGAACCACAGGAAACTCACCGATACGTTTTTTGCCTGTCCTCTAGTTCTTTGCGTCTGTGTTGCTTGAGAATCTGTGTCTTGTCATCCCGGGGGAGCTTTGCTGTGAAAAATAAGAAAGGTATGGGGTTGTGAGGCCCCTCTACCTATCAATGCCCAGATCTTGAGAAGAACGGAAATGCTTCCAAACGTCCGAACGTCTGACCTACATCTTTAATAAGTTGCACTATTCTATTTAATTCCTGAAGTAGAACCCTAGGTCACTAATTAGTCTGTGGAAGGGGATAAGTTCCTAACTTAGCACCTCCAATGGCCAGTGCACTTTAGTTAGGAGTATCTATCTCAACTGTATTTAAAACCTGGATACCTACAGTAGGTACCTGGTGTATGCTTCTACTGTTAAATTATCTGAATAGTGATTTGAGTTAACTTTACATTACATTTACACTGAACCATACCCTTCCCTATCAGTTTGGAGGAATAAGTATTTATTCTTTCTATGGGAATAGAGAACAGAAAGAATAAAACAGAGCATAGAAAGAATAAAACAGAGAAGTTTAATTCCCTGGCAGCTTACTCTTCTGACCATTTATTCATAACAGCATCAAATAACACAGCGATTTCCTTAGAGACTGGGAGAAAGAGCAAGGTATCTCATTCACTTTACATATACAAAAGGGAAGGCAGATAACATAAGAAGGAGTTTCACGGAAATAGCTGTTTGGGGTTTGGAGTTGGAAATGTTGGAGATAAGGTGACTGATAAGACAGGGCTAGAAGCTTCCAGCTGGCTGCCAAAGTTATAAACAGGGTGTACCTTTCTTTTTTCCTTTATCTAGCCATGTTTGAAGCCCATGGAAAGCCACTTTCTTTGTAAGACCAGAGTTTTTATAAATCAAATGAAAAAGCACAGAAAGCCCCTTTGAAGATCAAAAGAAACTGAAAGATTACAGTACAAAATGTTTTAAATACACAACTCTTCAGCCAAGAGCAAGTACTAGCCAGGCAGACAAAAACTTAATGGGAAGAAAAACATGTACTTCCCACCACTCCATATACTGTGTCAGGCTGTTTGCTTGGTTTTGGCGTTTTTCGTTTGTTCTTTTCCAGGCACTCATGCCACAGGCCACTGCAGCAACCAAGCTACACAAAGAAACCATGAAGGGGAATAAGCAAGTCTTGGTGACAAATGACTGCCCCGTCCTCTGTCACAGCTCTGATTACGTGGGCAGAGACAGCCAACATACACATCGCAGGTCCGACAGCCCACTGAACAGAGCACTGAAGTGCCAAAACGTGCCCCGTCCTCTGTCACAGCTCTGGTTACGTGGGTGATCAGAGACAGCCAACATACACATCTCAGGTCCGACAGCCAACTGAACAGAGCACTGAAGTGCCAAAACACTTTTCTCAGTTGGTCACTGTTACTCACAGCAGCCATATCCATCTCATCTTGCCTTCTCCTCAACTCAATAGTACAGGAGGGAAAAGTGAAGCTGCCATTTCCAACCAATCCTAGTGCCTACCAGCAGCCTAATTTTGGATTTTTGTTGAAATCTAGAAAATTTCCATGCACCTAATTATGGAAAAAAAATACATATTCAGGGGCTCACTAGGAGACAGCAACAAGACATTAGGTCAAAGACCAAAAGGGCTTCCAGGAGTAGAAGAAACTTGTCATTGGAGTCAGCCCTTCATATTCAGGCCAACCTAGGGAATCTCCCTTGTAACTCTCCCAACTCAACAGCCAGTGTCCAGACCAACAAACTGCTCATAAGCAAGTCCTCGTCAGCAGGGAGAAGCAATTCCCTGGGATTCAGAGGATTACTGGCACGGGGGAAAAGATTGGGAGAAATTTCCCCCGAGAAAGGGGAAGAGAGAGGTGGAGGAATCCTGTCTGTTTCATACGTCATGAGATTTCTCATGGTTCTCACCTCTTCCATCTCGCAGGACAATCTCTTTTTCATCTGTAATCCATCGGTAACACGGGAACTCCAGATAGTCACCAAGTGGAGTTTTTACAGTGATATACTTAAGATACCAGTCATCATGGTACCAATATTTTCGTTTCTCAATTTTTATTAGCTGAATTTCTCCAAGGTCTTCCTCCACAGTCACATCATAGGAGTCAACCTGCAGAGGGGAAATATAATTAGTGATCTCCTAAGCATCCAGGAAGCACAACCAGCATTTTATAAGCCTATCTGACATCCACTGTGGATAGGTGTGCTACCGGCACATGAAACTTTCTTACTTGCATTAGATGAGGAAAAAAAGACACCAAAGGCCATGCTGACTTGTCAGTCTTGCTGACTGTTCCTATTACAGAGTTGTAAGAGAATTATCAGCAAACATTTTCTTCTTCCATTTGAATTGCACTAAATTACCTAATAGATTTAGGGTCATGAACTCTTATCCTAAAAATAGGCACTTGAGTCCCTTCTAGAGCCCAGGGCTAACCCTTCTGAGACAGGCACAGTGTCTCATTACATGCCGGGACATCATCTGGCATCCTACCATTGCAATCACACTTGCACTATTAAAGAATGCCAGGGCAATTCAGGAGAGCTAGAATTGACTCTGCCTTTCCAACAGTTTCAACGGTTCAGAGAAAATGGGCACTTCCAAGCACAAAATAACAAGGCTGAATTAGCTATTGCAATCATGAGAGCGCAAACTTACTCTGTTCAAAATAAGATCCTGCTAAGTACAATGTTGATATGAGACTTCACTCGCTCTTAGTTTTGCTTAACACAATCAGCATTCTTAGAAACCAATCGGCTGCTGAAATCGAGAGGACACAGCACTCTTCCTGAGCGTGCTGCAGGTCTGTAGCAATTCACCCGTTTGCAACTTCATCTTTTGGCTCCTGACCAAGCCACAATACTCTGCTTGTTCTTTTCAGGAGCACTTTCCCAGTGTCCCAGGCCCCAGACACCTGATGTATCCCCCCAACTGCATTATTTTCTAGGAAAAGCCTAATTCACCAAAGGACCAACTCTACAAATTGAAGAAAGATCAAACTCCAGAGAAGAAAAAGGAAGTAAAGTCATTTTTAAATGTCTTCAAACAGCACCTATTACTTCAACTGTTACAAAAGAAAGATAGACGCCAATTTTCACCCACATGATTAGAGGAAAAAACATGATTAGGAGGATCCTTTGGCATCCCTTCCTCTCCCTTTTTAGCTCAAGTCTCCCAACCAAGGAGAACATCCTTTCATGCTGTGCATAATTCACCAGCTGCGATGATCATTTGGGGATGGAGGCATCAATCTGTCCACCAGATTTGGGGTGGTAGACCTCAATTCTCTCATAATCCATTACATTAATCTATCAGCCTTCATAAGTTGGTCACATCTAATTGACTCACAGAAGTTAAAAAAAAAAAAATGAAAAAACATTTAGGTATTGTCAGCAGACAATGAAACATTGTCCTGGCCTATCCTCATCCAGTGCTGTGCTTTAATCAGCTTTGAAACTATGCAGGACAAGTGCAACAACTGAACAAAAGTCACAGTAATGCATTTTCTTAAATGACAGCTGTGGCACTCGGTGAATGGAAGACAAACATACCGAGCTCCTGGCTAAGGGAGACAAAATTCCTTCCTCCCACAGAAGCCGATTTCAGATGATACCCTGATCTCTTCCCATCATCCAAGGCCCATTCTTCTTGGCTTCACCCTTATCAGTCAGCACAAAGAATTCTACATACCAGTTAGAAAACATAGGTAATAAGCTCAGATTACTTCCTGTGCTACAGTTTTTACTTCTAAATAGACAATATTTAAATCCTTCCTACTTCACGTTCATTTTCCTGCAACTCCTGTTTTCCTCAATAAAATGCGACTGTGTGCTCGTAACAATAAACTCCCCACTAGGCTGGGGTTTCACACTGAGTCAGTGTTTCCGCAAACAGCACTTTGCAAAATTATTATCCGCTACAGGCTGCGATACCACATACGTCGGATTCAAGGGTTTCCTCCTTATGCACCTCTACATGTAATTGCAAACACAACATCAATTCTCTCTTTCATTTTACTGTTGTTCCTGCTGTTCTTGGAAGTCCAGGGTTCTAAGTAACCCCCTTACAGTGGTGACAAGTCCACCTCTACACAATCCAAATGAATCGACAAGCCTAACCTGAATTATTATCCATTTCTGTTCAGCACTGTAAAGGGAATTAAAATGCAAAGACCATAAGCTACAGAAGCAAATGTTAAATTGCATCTGAATCAGCTTTGCTTTGTATTTGGCTACCAGTTTTTTTCTTCTTCATCTTCTCGATTATTTCTAGTTCCAGTTCTTTCTCTGAAGAGAAACGGTTATTTGGACAAAGGAAATGGCATTATTTTTAGCTCAAGTTCTCATGAAAACCCATTGCTGTCAAGTGATTGTATGGCACAGAAAGCCTGAAATGAGTCTTATTTTCTCAGGAACTCCTCACTGTTCAAGATATTTGACTAGCCTTGTCTTCTTTAAATGGTCAGCTAAAAATTTCCTTTAAAAATCCTCACTTACATGTATGCATTTCTATAGTTCCTATGACCTCATACCTATATATATATATATATATACACACCTAAGACTTAAAATGAAAGAGCAGAGTGAATCAACCCAAAGAGCTGACAGAAATGTCACATCTGTAGCCAATCCTTTGCCATAAGGCACTCATTCCTTAGGCAAAATACTACATTCACTGCAAAAGTCACTGTCAGTGTAATGCAAAAAGGACATTCAGTTAGTCCAAATATGCTTGAAGGTTTTTAATCTTTTTCTGACCATCACAGTCCCCAAGCTAAGGGCACTGCTGCAAGCGAGGTTCCTTTTTGACTTCTCATCCAGCTTTTCCTGCCTGCAAGCCAGCGAGGCTAATGGGAAAACATGCACTGCTGCTTCCAAAGCCTCACTGCTACAATGTGCCCAAACTCCCTTCTGAAAGCTTTTCTCTCTCATTAGCTATTTTCTTTAACTTTGCTTCTCATAGTCTCAAAGGACAGATAATTCATTCATAAACAGTTGAAAGAACAGAAGTAATGAGACTGTTGGACTGTCCAAGTCCACAGTGCATCCTGCACAAGAAATTTAATCTCTTGCAAAACCTGAGTTTTTTAGGAGAGCCTCCTACTTACCAGCAAAAGGGTACTGCAAAAGGGGTCATGACACAGGTAAGCTCTCTTCGTAAGCACAAAACTCTAAGTGGAAAGAGTTTTTCCTCCTGGAAATACTAGGGAGTGAGTTTCTTTCAACCACAGTAAAAGGAGATGAACGGAAAACAGCAAGAAAACAGGGAACTGAGTGGCACTGTGTCACTCACTGAAATCTCTCTGCACCAACAGGAACTTATTCAAAAGTCACTAAGAAAAAAAGAATATGGTTTTCCAAATTACTTGTGTCTAGTACTTGTAGAAAGTCTAATAAAAGAGAAAACTGAGCTTCCATTGTGTCAGTCCCCTTGGGTTTTCCACATCTCTTTGCCATATACAATATTTGACAGGCAAATCTCTTATTCAAAATTAGTCCAAGCCTTCATTCATCATATCTAGCAATAGCCACAATTTGCATTAATTCAAATGAAGCCATTGCCTGGATGATGGAATTACCGAGCCTGGCTCAACCTTTAGAAAAAGAACTGCAGAAACGGAGAAAGCCATACAAGATGCAACACAGAATTCTGGCTAGTCTCTGGAAAAAGCCCTTTTTGTAAATGTATTCCTAACTGAATTGCTTTGTGGAAAAGGAGCAATGCTAGTGAAAGAAATATCAAGACAGAACTGTTTTCAAATGCTGCATTTGGCAGACTAACCAACCTGATAATCTTTTGCCTTTTATTAGGGGTAAGGAGCAGCAGGGAAGAGTTCGGCATTTCTTTCCTTTCTTTAGACAACTTAGTGTCATCTAAATTGTTGTAAGAGTTAGTGTTCTGAGGACAGTGCTACCGGAGCAGGTACCTGGAGAAACACACCTACACTGAAAACCAAGGCTCAGCACATTGAGCAGGTACCTGGAGAAACACACAGCACTGTCCGAGAAAATGCTACACTGAAAACCAAGGCTCAGCACATCATACTGCAGGTTTCCAGGAAGTTGTGGAACTTGCCATCCACAAGACTCAAAAAATAGATGCACGTTTGTACATTAAACACAAACACACAGAATGAGAGGAGATAACAAATCTAGTTAGGGAAAAAAGTACTGATCTGGGTTTAGTTGTGGAATTTTGCTCTAGGAAACACCTATAGCTACCCAAACCTCAGAAAGTATACTTACCTAACAGCATATTTAATATAAAATACTAAGATACAGGTAAAAACTTTTCAACGTGCCTAAAAGTCAAATTCCCAAAGAGAACAAATTATTTTAGGCACACGCATCCACTGCCATAATGCTACAGATGTCCACAAACCTCCCTGCGTTGCCTCCTCACCAGAGTGTCCAGCACCCACAGGAATCTCCTGCTGCAACCAGCCCTGCAGCAGCTCAGGAGCAGCTGTTGACCTTATACTTAATGCCACATAATGGCATTTTCTCGCTGCTATAGGATCTAATCTAACTGGAGTTTTGCAAGCCTCCCCATCGTGGCCAGCTCTCAAAATTAGTGAACCTCCTTTTATAACTGGGATAAGCAGAAACTGCTCAGCCACTGGAGACCAAAACCTCATCTCAACCAGGGGGATTTTGGATCTCCTGGGTTCTGCTCCTGGGATAGCATCTTAAGCACAAGCTTGCAGGTTGCTCTGAGGTCTTATTCAACCTCTTTTGTTGATGGAGTTACACTTATATGAGAATATTCAATGGATAAGGAAGAGAGTGGGGAGTATCTACTTGAGAGAGCTAGATAATGCTTCTGAGTAACGAATGTTTAATAGCAAGGGTAACTTCAACAGGAACGTCTAGCAAGTCCACACGCCTCTGAATTTGCTCGGGAATCTTCCCCGGACTCCACGCTACATCATTCTCACATCATCCATCAGCAAACAGCTTTCCCTGGGATCCATGGGGAAGCCCTGAGGGATCCTTCACAAGCCTCAGACTGCGCTCCTGAGCCCCGACGGGGGAAGCCCAAGGCGGGAGACGCTGCGGGGAGGCTGCGCGGCGCGAGCGCCTCGGGACTGCGCAGGAGGCGCAGGAGGCGCAGCGCAGCGGAGCGGGGGTGCCCGGGCGCGGACACTCACCGCGCCGCGCTCGAAGTCGTTGTAGAAGGGCTTGTCCAGGAGGTGCCTCTCGCTGCAGCCCGCCGTGCCCTCCAGGCTCAGGTACACGTAGTCGTCCGTGCCCGCGAACCACTGGCTGCCCGTGGCCACGGTCACCGTGTAGGACGGCATCGCCCCGCTGCACGGCACGGCACGGCCCCGCTGCACGGCACGGCCCCGCTGCAC